TTCTAAATTAAGTTATACTAAATATATATGATACTGCATGAGTCAAAAAGAGGGCTGTGAAAATATTTACAGACCCCTCACATCCTGGACATAAACTGTTTCAACTCCTACCCTCAAAACAACACTATAGAGCACTGCACACCAGAACAACTAGACACAAGAACAGTTTCCCGAACGCCATCACTCTGCTAAACAAATAATTCCCTCAATACTGTCAAACTATTCACTAAGTCTGCACTACTATTAATCTTCTCATTGTTCCTATCACCCATCTCCTCCCACTTATGACTGCATGATTGTAACTTTGTTGCTTGTATCCTTACGATTTATATTTTATTTTATTTTTATTTTTATTTATTTTTATTTTTTATTTGATTTATATGCCGCCCTTCTCCGGAGACTCAGGGCGGCTTACAATGCATTAAGCAATAGCCTTCATACTTTTGTATATTTATACAAAGTCAGCTTATTGCCCCCACAAACTGGGTCCTCATTTAACCTACCTTAGAAAGGATGGAAGGCTGAGTCAACCTTGAGCCTAGTAAGATTCGAACCTGCAGTAATTGCAGGCAGCTGTGTTAATTACAGGGTGCATTAAACCAAGACTACCAATATCAATATATTGATATTGTTTCCTAGTATGATTTGATTGCTTATTTGTACCCTATGACTATCATTAAGTGTTGTACCTGATGATTCTTGACGAATGTATCTTTTCTTTTTATGTACACTGAGAGCATATGCACCAAAAACAAATTCCTTGTGTGTCAATCACACTTGGCCAATAAAGAATTCTGTTCTGTTCTGTTCAGAATTCTATTCTATATTATGTTTTACTACTCTGTTTGCTTTTTTTTTTTTTTGCAAATGGTGGTGTTGGAACAGTAATATAATAAAATAAGCTATATTCAGCAACAGGATCTAACCATAGCTTAGTTATGAAATGTGCATTTAAAAACAGACAGACAGGTAGATAAATCCTGCTATACCTGGTGCTAGAAAAGAGATTCCATGAAACTTACCCAAAAAACGCAGATGAGCTGAGACATTGTATGCAAATCCTTGAGGCACAAAAGAATAATCAGCTTCATCTTCTGGGGTAACATCATCGATGGTTAATTTATGGATTCTGAAAAATAGTAAGGCATTTGACAAAATAGACCATAACCTACTACTTGATAAAATAGAAAAATGTAGGTTAGACAGCATCACCACCAGATGGATTTGTAACTGGCCGACCAACTACACGCAACGTGTAGTCCTCAATGGAACTGCATTTACATGGAGGGGGGTATACAGTGAGGATACCCCAGGGTTCTGTTTTAGGCCCAGTACTCTTCAACATATTCATCAATGATTTGGACAAGGGGATAGATGGCGAACTCATCAAATTTGCAGATGACACCAAGCTAGCAGGAATAACCAACACTCTGGAAGATAGGCTTAAGATACAGAAGGATCTTTTTTTTTTTTTTTAAGATACAGAAGGATCTTTTTTTTTTTTTTTAAGATACAGAAGGATCTTGACAGACTTGAACATTGGGCGCTATCTAACAAAATGAAATTAAATAGTGAAAAAAGTAAGGTTCTACATTTAGGCAAGAAAAACAAAATGCACAGGTACAGTATATGTGGCACCTTGCTCAATAGTGGTGACTGTGAGAGGGATCTTGGAGTCCTAGTGGACAATCACTTAAATATGAGCCAGCAGTGTGCTTCAGCTGCCAAAAACACCAACACAGTTCTAGGTTGCATAAACAGAGGAATAGAATCAAGATCACGTGAAGTGTTAGTACCACTTTATAATGTCTTGGTAAGGCCACACTTAGAATACTGTATCCAATTTTGGTTGCCACGATGTAAAAAAGATGTTGAGACTCTAGAAAGAGTGCAGAGAAGAGCAACAAAGATGATTAGGGGCCTCAAGAATAAAACTTATAAAGAACGGTTGCTGGAACTGGATATGTCTAGTCTTATGAAAAGGAGGACTAGGGGTGATATGATAGCAGTATTCTGAGATCTCAGGGGCTGCCACAAAGAAGAGGAGTCAAGCTATTCTCCAAAGCACCTGAGGGTAGAACAAGAAGCAATGGGTGGAAACTAATGAAGGAGAGAAGCAACCTAGAACTAAGAAGAAATTTCCTGACAGTTAGAACAATTAATCAGTGAAACAACTTGCCTCCAGAAGTTGTGAATGCTCCAACACTGGAAGTTTTTAAGAAGAAATTAGATAACCATTTGTCTGAAGTGGTGTAGGGTTTCCTGCCTAAGCAGGGGGTTGGACTAGAAGACCTCCAAGGTTCCTTCCAACTCTGTTATTCTATTCTATTCTATGTTGCAGGATCCAATCTGGGTCGGTCAGCGGGATCAGAAATCTTCTGAGCTTTCGGACTCGAAAGTCCATCTTCAGGGAACTTTTCTCTAACAGACTGTGTGTTGCTCTGCGTGTGGTATTTATAGTGCCTGTTGTAAGTGGCTTTTTAGATATTGATTAGGGTATGTGGATGGCTGGCTTTTAAGTCATTAGTTGTCATTTGCTTGTGCTGCCCAGCCCTCATCTTCTAAGTACTTGATAGGCGGATGGTAGATCAGCACTCCTGTTGACTGATGAGGGGCCTGTTTCCCTTCCACTTCCCTGATTGTTCAGGGACTTCAATCACTTCCCTGATTGTTTTTGTGCCTGCTCGTCCAACAATCTTAGTAGTTGAAAAGTTGAGTGTGTGTCCTTGTTCATTGCAGTGTGAGACTACCAATGAGTTTGGGTCTCCTCATCTGACCAAGCAGTCAGACGAGGAGACCTGAACTCCAGCATGAGTCTGAAAGCTTGGAAGACAAAACCTCTGGTCCCAGGGACAGACCCAAATTGGATCCTGCAACAAATATTTGTGCTCGAGTCTAATCTTTGTCCAGTGTAGATTGGACATATTGTATCTAGTTTTTGTCTAGTAGCTTGAGCCTAAATTTCCCCACAGTGTAGATGAACTATGTATGCTTTAAACCATATATATTATTACAAAGTAAATCTGAATTTTTGCAAATGTCTATGGGAAGCATATGAGTCTTAATTATCTAATAATAAATTTAATAATTTAATAAATTGCCAAACTATTTCACAATATTAAAGCATTTTAATAGAACATACATAACTATTAATGAGACAAAATATATCATCAGGCCATTATAATTTATTTTCATATCTACCATAGTCACTGATATTCAAAATTGGTCAATTGAGTAAGGTGGGCCAATAATTCCAATATCAAACTAAAATTAAGAGAAGATTAAGAGTATTCCATGAAGCACCTTGATAGATTAAAACAGGGATCCCCAAATCCTGTTTCATGGACTGGCACTGGTTTGCAGCATGCCAGAAACTGGGAGGCGCAAACAAGCGAAGCCCCATCCATGGAATGCAGGCAGCGCACAAAACCATGCCCCCTCCAATCCATGGAAAAACCTCTCTCCACAGAACTGGTCCCTGGTGCCCAAAAGGTTGGGTGCTGCTGGATTAAAAGGTAATTCTATTTTTAATAATTTTAGCAGGAGTAGAATACCACATTCAAAAATTTCCATTATATGCCATATTAGACCACTGCTGCTGATTTCAGTCTTTCTGAATGTATATCCAGAATGTTAATTAATAATCCAATATCCTCAGTTATTTCTTTTTTGGATATCTTTTCGTCATAAGAGTAAATCTCAAAGAAAAATAATACAGACATATGACCAGGTCACTATTTCTATAACTCAATGAGAGTGAATTTTTTGGCTGACATAAATTTTAAAAAGTTAAACAGAGACCCATACAAACACAAAATAACCAATAATAGGAAACAAACAGCAAAAATCAGAGAAAAATAAAAATTAAGACACTATATAAAGCAAAAACAAAGCAAATCTTAAAACACGACATCTAATGTTAACATTCCTATTTTTAATTTTCAATATTGAAAATCCAAGAGACCATAGTTAAATGTTCACAATATCTGAAAAAACTATGAATATTAGAAACTTAAAAGTCACTTAATTGTTAATTAATTACTTGTGCATCTTCTTAAAAAAAAAGAAAAAAATAATTTAGGATTTTCAGCTTTCATATATTTTTCTTTTTTTTTTCTGCTTGCAATTTACGGGGAACTTTAAATCACTTTTCTCACACCACATAAGTAATCCTAGGAAAATCAATGTTCTATAACCACTGTAAAATGTTATAATGTACCTGCCAATATGAGAGATTTTGATCCGATTGTTTGGGATGACCTCTTTCCCATTTTTCAGCCAGATGCCCTTCACATTCTCATCAGACACCTCACACTTGAACACCGCCTGGTCTCGTGCTTTCACAGTCAGATCTGCAATACTTTGGTACACCTCTAACTTCTTTTCTGAGATTGTGAATTGGGGAACAAATCCACATGATTGCAAAAGGTCAGAGGTAGGAAACACCCAAAATGTAGATATTGCTTTTACAAAAAAAATATTAAAAAGTTAAAGAAAAAAACCCACGTCTTCCAGAAAAGGTGAAACAGGAAGAGATATTTAGGAATGTGTGAGAATTTAGTGTAATTTGATATGTAAGGCACTGCTGTTATCAGAATATGTGTTACATCCAACATCAACAAATAATGCATGATTAACATACAATGTATAATTAACTATTCTATTACTAGTTATTACTGTTACAGAGAAGGCCATAACCAATCTCCATACACATTTTAAAAAGCATATTCTTATTTATTTCTCACCTTGTACAATCAATTCTGCAACAGACTCCCCACCATTAGTTTTGACTTTGTAATGCCCATTATCTTCCTTGGTGGACTCATTGATGATGAGGTAGTGCTTTTTACCATCCTTTTTGAACCGATATTTGAATGCCTCTTCTCGAGTAAGCTCTACACCATCTTTTTCCCTGTGGATATCAAAGTATCATTGTGATGATGATGATGATGATGATGATGATGATGATGATGATTCGTGTTACATTAGCCAGGAGACCACAATGCAGAGTAGTAGTTTGGCTGCCAATTTACCAGCTCTGTTGTAGGACATACTCACGCGCTTCCTAAGGTAAACCACAAGGGGATGAGCTGGTTTCCCACCAGAAAGAACAATGAGTCTCTTTCTGAAGAAGTTACCTAAGGTCCTTTCCCTTCCCTGGAGCCTGATGACTTCAGCTCACTTTTCCAACAATATAAGACAGATAGTGACTACCCATAGGTTTTTATCCCTGGTATACTGAAACATGATTCCTCTGTTTTTAAAAACCTTGTTTGAGTTCAAAAAGCTAGGTAGTTGGGATTAGTTGGGTATTTGATGGGAGACCACGGGTAATACCAGAGCAGTAGTCTTGAATAGGAAGCCAGAATAAAATTCTTGAAGAAGGCAATATGAAGCTGCTTTTGTGTTGCTGCCAAGAAGACCAAATAAGCATGTCCCTGAAATCACCAAAACTTGGAGCTCAATTAGAGGAAATGTTAATCTTTTTAAATAAAGCTCTTTGGCCAGTTTAAAGTATAGCTCCCCCTTAACAGTGAAGGTTTTCCCTCCATCCCCTTTACTTTACCATTTCACAGTAGCCCCATCTTCAGACACTTCAGCTTCAAACTCCACTCTTTCCCCAACTGTAACCACTTGGTCTTCCAGAGAATGAGTGATCAGGATCGGAGGCTCTAGAAATGAAATGAGAACTTGATTTCAGAATGGAGAATATGACAGGCCTAAAAACTAAGATTGATTCATGGTGATTCTTCCAAGCTGAGTTCTTTATTGTTTCTACACCTATAGTTAGAATCTTGCCAGACTGAGCACTCTACTATCTGCATCTTCCATATACTCCCAGAACTATTAGGGAGCGGCTGCTTTGACATCTTTCTCTCACACAAAATATTTGAATTGAGTTGTTTCTTATTCTTCTGGAATGCATCCAGGGGTGAACTCCAGCAGGTTCTGACAGGTTCTGGAGAACCGGTAGCGGAAATTTTGAGTAGTTTGGAGAACCGGCAAATACCACCTCTGGCTGGTCCCAGAGTGGGGTGGGAATGGAGATTTTGCAATATCCTTCCCTCAGGAGTGGGGAGGAAATGGAGATTTTGCAGTATCCTTCCCCTGCCATGCCCACCAAGCCACGCCCACCAAGCCACACCATGGCTACCAAGCCACACCCATACAACCTGTAGTAAAAAAATTTGGATTTCACCACTGATCCGTTCCCTGTGGGATCCACTCCTCATTACATTCCATTACAAAAACTAAAGATAATTTAAATAATTTAAAACTTTAGCATTTGTTTCTTGTTCTTCTAAATTACATTCATATGGAATAAGGTTTATTTTCTTCTTCAAGACCAAGGACAGCATATTCCTGTGCCATTCAAGAGCATGAAGCTTTTCTGAGAAGGTCACAAAAACCTCAGACAAAAGAGAAGAACAGAAAAATAATAACAATGGGTCCCATAATTTTTCTCTTATTTGCTTCCAAAAGAACTTGACAATACTTTTGTACAAGCTGTCTCTTTTCCTTCACAAGAGTGACGTTCTTTTTGTCTTGGTTCTACTTATACAGTGCCATACAACGTTATAGTGGAATTCAGGATGATAGTAACATCTGACACTCTTGGATGCTGTCATTACTCTGTGGTCTTTTTCCTAATACATTCAATAGTATCAAACAGATGGATCTTGCTGTTGTAATTCTCCACAAAATTCATAAAACAACCAGAAGGCAATACAATAATTAAAAATGGCAGCCAAACTCAGCATTGCTCAAAATAATGTGAAGGAATATAGACCTGGCTTTAGGAAGGGGAAAGGAATGAGCAAACTGTTAAGGGAGAAGTTTTGGATAGCATTACTGTCCAAATGAAACTCAACGTAACACTACCTCAATTTTGTTTGGTATAATATGAAACAAAGAGAAATTCTGACAGGCTTTCAAGATACTGCTAACCTAACCGGCAACTTAAAAAGCATTTCTGGAATCTCTGCTTTTTCTGTTTCATGATCTCCCTTACCTTGAAAGGCTGACATCTTGAAAGTTTTTGTCAAGGTTTCTCCTACTACATTTTTACACTAAACAAAATCAAGGTAAGGTTATTTTGAATTTTATTTCTCATCTTTTCTGAAATTCTTCCTTTAATAATTCAGTTATTCCTTTCCCATTTCCAAGGTCAAGACCATATTCTTTCATATTACAGAGCTCACTAGCAATTACTTCAGATGTGGCCCACTCAAACAGTCTTCAGCTGCAACTCAAGTCACCTTCAATTAAATCCAACCTCTATATGGGTTTTGTATGTTGGAAAGGTTGAGCTGGGTCACATTCCTGTGAAACAAGTAAAAACTCATCTTATACTATCTTATTCCCACTTCTCTGTTTTCAAACTAAATATGATCACTCTTGTAAAAGGTATATGCTGCCTTTTTTGACTCTTCACTACTTGTGTTCCTTCCCTCCAGCCCTAAAATTATCATGTTTGTTTCAGAAAGAACTGAAAGCTGCTTCTTTGGCTGAGAAGGTTAAAGGACATAACTGAAAAAATGTAAGAAGGATTTAGAATTGAAGGTTTGAATCATATTGTTTAATTTGTAGTTGTAAACCAGAATCATCTGCCTATAATAGTCAACACTAACACATCTACACGCCAACTGTATGTTTATAGAATTACCATGGTTCTTTATCCTCCTTTAAATGGAAGCTCTAATCTTGAATGTAAATCATTATCTTTTTAACATATTCTAAAAGAAGATATCTAAACTTGTCTTGAATTTTAACTCTAATTCAACTCTAATATTCTCTAACCCAAGTAATAAAGGAATGCAATATGGAATCTGCACAACTGATTTTTAGTTGTGTTGATTTTCATTCTAATGTACAGTAATTGTGACACTGATTTGTGTTATATTTTTTTAAAAAATCTTACATGTTACCTTTGCATTTTCTCCTTTTGTCAAGGTACACAGAGTAACAGTCTGCAACCCAATCTTAGATATAGTTGGAAGTAAATACCATTTCATTCAATCTGGCTAAGTATCAAATGGGCCTGGTGGCTCAGCAGACTAATAGCATTGTGATTAACACCAGCTGTCTGCAATTACTGTAAATTCGAATCTCACCAGGCTCAAGGTTGACTCAGCCTTCCATCCTTTCTAAGGTAGGTAAATTGAGGACCCAGTTTGTGGGGGCAATAAGCTGACTTTGTATAAATATACAAAAGTATGAAGGCTATTGCTTAACGCATTGTAAGCCGCTCTGAGTCTCCGGAGAAGGGCGGCATATAAATCAATTTTTTTTAAAAAAAGAGCATGCAGATGACTTTCAGGTTCACAATAACCTATTTGATAGTTTCTGCAGAGAATTCAAAGATTTGACAATCTCATGGGGTAATTAATATTCATCAGAGAAGCAGAAATATTCATAATGCCTTCTAGTAAGTTAAAATATGGTAAATATAGACATGCATACATTTTCTCAAGTTCAGGAAATAATGGAGAAAAAAGAGAAGAAGCCTAACACATACACACACACTAAATTGTTGCCAAAAATAACATTGAGTTGGCAAAATTGCAGCAGCACAAAATGTAGGATTTCAGGATGTTTTACTTATAATCTAGGTCTCAGTCTGTATATTTTATAGCATAGCCCAACCCAACAACAATAATAAATCATTCACCTCTTACAAACAGTTCTGTGAAAGTCTTCTCTTCCCCAATCACGCACTGATATGCTGCGTCATCAGCCAATGAGCAGTGGTTTATGGTTAAGATCCTTTTATTTCCCAGAGATTCAAAAATATATCTAGAGAAATGCAAATGAAGATGATGGAACTTGCAGAGATGGCTAAACTGACTTCCTTGATTATAGAAAAGACAATATTTATATTTATTGCTGACTAGCAACCACTTCTAAAATCTTTGTGTGCAATAGAATAAAAAAAAAGTTATGATTTACAGTTTTGATGGTTAGAAAAAATAGGAGGGCATTTTGCAATCATAGAGTAAGAAATAATTTTGTATTTGTACTTATTGCTGTAAAGAAAATGGAAGGTACATTCTATTTCTTTTTATTCTTATTTTTTTCCACAGCTCTTATTAGTTTTTATCTTTTAAAATTTCATAATAAAAATTATGTAAAAAAATGGAAATGATTTAAAAAAAAAAAAAACCTAACACAGAATAGGTATCACCTAGATTCCTGGGTAATTTTGATCAGCTATGTTCACATACACATATTCTATACAGTGTGTAGAGAAAAAAGATAAAAGATAATTGCAAAGATTGTAGTTAAAAAAGAACAAGGAACAGTTACATTTTTAAAAGGGAAAGAAAATGCAGTGATAATAATGAAAAAAATGGAAGTAGGTTAAATATGAAGCCTCCACCAGAGTGGAGTGGTTAATTAATAATAATAAAATTAATAAAAGTGTTGAAATAATTTGGGATGAAATTGAAGTGAAGGAATGCTTAGTAGGAGTGTTTTAGAGATTTGTATAGGAATGGTAGTGATAGATCAAAGTTACCTTGAGTAAGTTGGGTGGCCTATATTTTATAAACATAGAAATAATAAACAAACAAACAAATAAATAGAACTCAAGTGAATGCTATAAATGTTAATGTTCAAGAAAAATGATGAAAAGAAAGTAATACTTGCTGTGAGAACCTTGAAAAATTACAATTTTTTAAATAAAATTTATAAAGCCACAAGTATATAATTTTTAATAAAATTATAAAGCTACAAGCATGGATGGTAAAATTAGGGAAATATGGAAATTAAAATATGGATATGGTTTACATATAGAGTAATAGTGTGATTTATTTAGCGTGTGTAAAGATTTATCTGTTCCTGATAATTGGAATAAAATTGTTGTCTCCTAACACAAAGTGAAAAGCGGTGTTGCAACTTCGCACATAGTCAAAAACAAACAAGATCTGTATGAATGTGGGAAATAAAGCATTTATTTATTTAAAGAAAGCATACATAAAACAATAGCTTGAATGATGGAATATTTTGTGCGAACATGGACTTGATGGTTGATTGCTGAATGCAGTAAGAATGGCATACAGTATATATGCAAATAAAACTAAAGTGTACATGACAATAAAAACCCTCCTTGGCAGATGGCTTAGCTCTAAGCACCAGGATGAGGATTTGTGATAAACCACTAGATTTTTTTTAATGTATTCATGAATAAAAATGTAAGAAATGCTTATGATGAAATTAGAGATGTGTTACTATGGATATGAAGCTATGCATAGTTATGTATACAGAATGGAGGTGGTGCAGTGTTGCTGGCTCGCAATTCAAATGATTTGCATGGAATGTTAGATTGTATAATGTAGTGAGGAACCTGGAGGTGAAAATTAATGTATAATGAGCAATAAAGTTGTGTTTGACTGCAGAAACTGTGTGAACAAATACTTAATGATGAAAAATTGAAGCAAAGAGATGGATTTAGGTTCCCTGGTAAAATGTCTATCAAAGAAGGGAAGACGGATGGAGAAATTTTAAGACAATATTGTGAATACTATAGAAAGGTGGTAGGTAACATATATTTGATGGCAAGGAAAGAAGATGAGGAAACTTGTTTATATGGCAATAATTGCCTGCATTCTGAGAAACATCATAGAAGTAAACTGACTGCAAGGGAAATATACTTAAGATATATGCGGCAAAACAAGAAGTGCTAGGTTGAAGAATCAATAGTGTCAAATGCATTAAAGATTTAATGCAAGAATGATCAATATTAAAGAAATAAATTGCAGTGGATTGAGAGACTGAATCAAGAAAAGACATAAAACAAATGCATGAAATGAATGGATTGAGAGAAAGATAAAATTGATGGGATCCCCCCCAAAAAAGAGGAGAGAGAAGGTAAATATATGACATGGGGCATGGGCACTGTGATAACAAAGACAGTTTTCAAGGGCAAATGTATGGATTGGTAAAGATGAGTGATTTGGGGGTAAACTACATTTAGCTGTATTTCCTTCTCTTTCTCTTATTTTGTACCTTAATTTCCTTGCTGTAACATATGCTTTCTTTCATGGGGCTCAGTGTGAAATAACTCAGCAGATTTTTTTTATAGATCCTTGCTTGTTGCAGGTAGCTGCTTCTCTTTCTTTAGGTTTCTTTCTTTAATAAATATAATCTAACAATACCCGGATGGTCCTGTGCCCTCATGCTGATAATGATTGGCTTATTACATTATTTCTTTCCCCATTTCTGTGCTTTGCATAATGCTGCTCACCCAAAAAGAATTGCATAATGGGCATGAATTATATACAATATATCTTCATCCTAATCTAGATAACAAAATAATGTGCAAAAGACTACTAAGGGACTCATCTATTCCTTGGGATATGCATGAAAACAATTAAACAGTAGTTATTCAGGTTACCAAACAAACAAACCAACCACTAACATCTTCATAAATTGCTTAATAAGGCAGAGGTAATTGCCATGGTTTTATGTTAGATAGCTTACTTATGGCCAAGTGATCATGCAGTGTTATCATTAGTTCAAAGATACTCACTTAGGACTAGTCATACTTGTATTAGAAGACCTCAAAGCTAGATAGACTCATTTGTAATTTCAGCCCTTCTAAACTGGGGGGGGAGGGGGGGGGAGGGAAATCAGCAAAAATATATCCTTTGCTGTATTGTAGATGAAGGAAAGTAGAAAAAACAAGAAGTGCAATATGAGGACTTACTTGCTAAGAACAAACGATGGATGGGTTCATTCAAGGCAGAGATGAGTAGAGGAAAGAGAAAAACCAGGCATGAAAAACTATATGAATTAGCAGTCTTACAATATAGTAAGCATTAATCCCACCTCATTTTCTCAACTGCTTATAGCTTTTGTTGATATTGGAGGCTTCTGGAGTGAGTGGGTAGAGGTATCAAAAGATTCAAGATCATGGCCATCACCGTGCAATTAAAGCCCAGTCCTTATTTATGTGAGTTGCACATAAAAATGGGGTTATTGTATAGTTGCAATCACAAACTTGACTTTTTTTTATCCCCACCCATCCATAGATGCCTCTGGTTGCTATTTTTTCTCCCTCTCCATTCTGATGAAATTTCCTTCTTTCCCAGTTTTGGTGATGACTAGGTTTCCTATACTCCACATTATGTCCATATAACATTTCATATTGCTGTATAATACTAATGCAAATGCTTTCATTTTGTTCTCTTGATTACCTGCCACTCACTTGGATCTCTTGACCATTCTTGAGCCACTTAACTTCCTCATCTGGGTTAGCAAGTTCCACTACTAATTTGATTTTCTGTCCTTTGTCAACTTGATATGCCGGATCCAACCTCTTCTGAAATGCTGTGGACAAAATTGGTTTAAAATTAAGATTCAAATGTTATTTGAATACATCCTATAACTCAGATGCTGCCAAATGGAGACCACCTGGCTCTATTAATCAAAAGCCATTCTGCTTTTTTAAAAACCCAATAGGTGTTTTTGTGATATGAAAAAAAAGTAGAAATGTAGGTGGGGGAAAAGAGGCAGGCTAAAACTCTATGCCTAGAAGGA